AGATAAAGCATTGTGTGAACTCATTACAGGAAGAGCACCTGGTACTAATTTTGATTGTTATCATTTTTGGGTTGAAGAACTCATCCACGAACGTGGACCATGGAGAGAAGTAATTGAAAGTGATGGTAAACGAAAATCTCATTGCCCATTCAATCGGACTTTGATGCGTGAACTGAGAGACAAATATGGCATTATCCATTATGAAAAAAGTGTTAGTCAATAAAAAAAACTTCTGTTTCGAAAATGTAAAAGTACACTCTAAGAAATGCGTTGCGCTAGCATCATAATGAATATGAAAGATCTACAGGACTATTTTAGGTGTGGCTGTGGGTATTGATGCTGATGTGGCTATAATTGCAGGTTGTAAACACGACACGCATACCTACATCTACATCACACTGTCATTCACATAAAAAAAAGTCTGCTTTCTCATCCACCTCGTCATACTTGGATCAGAATCAACCATTGTCACTTTTTTCTATCGTTCTATGCAAATGTAATCTGAAGTGACTCGTTTGTATTGATAAGAAAGCATCTCACGAAAACTGATACATTGAAAATCTGACATACATATACAATGTGTAGTCATCAAATGATTCCATGCTATTGAAGAATGAATGTGTTTGAGTAAAATGAATTTGTTTCTTTGAAAAGCTTTGATTGCTGTTGTACACTGTTGGCATGGTTTGGAACCTAATTGCCGCTGTAGATAAAGCTTCACAATAGGCAAAAGCGGTCGACTGACAGAGTGACAAGCAGATGTTGTAGTGGCACGGTTTATACGTAGTGTAATGGAAAAGTGAAGCATACACGATTGCTTAAAATACGTCTTCTTAGCAATATCATTAAATATAGTAGAGATGAACTAAATTTTTACATGGATGAGTATGAAACATGATATGATCCCTTCTGTCAAAAGATATACTTGAAATTAACTGTTCTGTTGCTCGTCTAAGAACTCCACGTCAACAAGAAAATCTATGAAGTTTTGCATAAGACTAGGTTTTGGACTTTTTAGATTTTGAATCTTACTCAATGCTACTTTATTTGGAACCGTAAAAGTATAATGTCTAGCAACTATAATTTTGAATATACTCAATGTGAATTCATAGAAACATAAAGCATTTCAAGTGTAACATGAAATCTACTCTATCAAAAGTTTCTACAATTATCGACTGCTGGACATTTTAAACATGTCTTCGTATCGACATGCTGCATTCCAAAACAAAACTTAGCTTTCAAACAACTGTTTCGAAATATTTCGCTTTGGTTTCACTTTAGTCTATCTTGAGGGTGAAGGTGGATTTGAGGATGGGTAGAGAGAAAAAACACAGCCATATCTATACCCACCCATACCCATTCAATGAACTCATTGATAATAAAGGCAGAGTTTTCATTACAAGACTCTAATTACGTTTACATTTGGCGAATATTGATAAAAACAAGGAACTGACAATGCAAGGTGGAATCTTTTTTTTCAATGGACGAGTCTTATGAAATCTTCCAGGTAGTGTCATTGATTTATCAACTTTTTCGTTATTACTCATTTTGGAAGTTCTCTACAAGAGAAACTGCTTCACAATATCAATAATAATCGTGAATAAAATAACATTATACGAATATCCTCATAATGTGATGAGAATATGTTCAGTTTCAAGAAGAATATTTTGTGCGTAAAAAACAGCAATCACTTCTCTAAATTAAACAAAGGAAGAGCAAATACAGAATCAATTGTACATGTGCTGATTTTGATTCAGTTTAAATATTAGTTGGAAATCATAATTTAAATGATATTAAATATAACTATGATTAAGGTACTTATGAAAGGCAAAATCGACGACAATCGTTGAAACATTTAGTAAGAATCAAGATTACGTACTACCATTCAGGTTCAAGCATCTCATGAAAAAAACATTGTTTTTCGCATTCTGCTATTTGAAACAATTAAAAAACAAAAAGAGAACTTGAATTTTTTCGTTTTCTGATTTTGTTAAATCTCCATTGGGTACTAAACTATCCAAAGTTACACTTAGGAATGATGAAGCCGTTGATTGCAATGGTTTCACCACAAATGTTTGCCAGTAAGAACTTGAAACAAAGATTTAGTTTGGCGTTCTACATCGTATTGAAACATTTTTCTCCGATAAATGTCATTATATCTTGGACAATTTTTCGCAATTTACAGAGTAAGACTGTGAAGATGAACTAAATATTTCTTCAATAATGAAACATCGTGTAAGCTTGATCTATTGGTCTTGAGATGTGCCACGTAAGAAAAACACTTAGCAATAATAATAATATTTTCGTTGTGGAATGCATGCTTAGAAAGAGATATGTCAAGATGTTTCACACGATTATTTTTTCTTATGAAAGCATCTATTTTAGAGAGAGGCATAGCTAAGATTATATCAAGTAAACTCATATTTGTGAGAGATGCTAGGAGTGCAGTTAATTCCTGAGTGATTTTTTGTGAGCGTGTGATGGTGACTTGTCTGATATTAGAACAAGTAACATATGTTTTTAGATAATGGAAGACAGAACTATTCATCTTATCGACTATACGGCACTCTACATTGTCAACGTAGTAATGACATGTTTTAATACTATTCATGTCACCAACATTTAAACTTATCTTTTCATTTACTATTATCATATCATGATAACCAATGTGGCTGAGTACTAGCTAATATTAAACAACGGGCCAATCGAATTCATATCGAGCATGGTATTTGAACTTGTCTCTAACGAAGTTATTCAAATCTGGATGTGCATATCTAGTTACCATTATATTGAAGTCCTTTTTCGATATTGAATATGAGTTTTGAAACGAGGCGAGCATGTTGTGGAGATCAACTGTTTTTACACGAAATGTAGTGGTTTAAAGAGCAAAATGAATTAATAATGGTAACGATGTTTTCAACAACATCTTACATGTGGGTGTGTGGTGTGCATGTGCTGGAAGAAAGAAGACACGCACACTCACACTCACATCCTCATTATTACAGAACATTTAATAAAAAAAGGAGAAACAAGAAAAAGCCTAGTCAACTAATCAATTATTAAAATGTATAGGAAAGAGAGAGAAAGCAAAAGAATAGATATGAGATATGGATATAGCTGTGAGTAAGTTGAAGATCCACATTGACCGTCATACTTAAACTCTAATTCCATGATTTTAATTAGAAATCCAATTTATTGCATTTATTTCATTAAACTGTTGCTTTTAAAAAATGAATTTGAAATACATCAATTTTTATTTCCATTTCATCATTAGAAATGCCATATCTACATCTTATTTACATGGATGAATAGGCATCTGTAGATAATAAAAACTTGATTATTCTGTTTTTTTTTTTGAAAATATATGAAATTGAATATTTAGCAGATCTTTATTGCTTTCTTTTTTAATTCTGTTAAAATGAGGAATGTAAATATGGATGTCACCATTTACTCATTTCATCTAAAAATTAGAATAACTAATAAATGTTCAATTTTATTTTCAAAACGTTTGTCTTAACTTTTGAATTATTTCATAAAATCTTTTAATCAATAGTTACAAAAGATATCATTCATATGAACCTCGAGAAGTCTAGTAAAACTCTTGTTTGTTTCTTTTTTTTCATACATACATACAAAAAAAAAATTATTTGATGTTGCCAATGAAAAATAATAAAAATAAGACAGACATAATAAAAAAAATATTTTTCACTGTATACATTCCTAATGCATTGTTGCAAAATGATGATGTACAACAATTAACTTCAAGTGATGAACCACCAAATAAATAACCTGATTCATTACATGATTGAACACATTCTTTAACTATATAACGTGTTGGTGCATATGCCATATATACAGTCAATTTCTAATAATAATAATAATAAAAACAATAAGTTAAAAAAGAGAAAAAAAAGACAACAATATATTTTTTTCATACATAACAATATGCACAAACTGGTAGACTTTGACTGGCATTCGATGCTTGAACATCAAATGGATCACCACAATCAATACATGTGTAACAAGCAATTGTTTGTATTGGTGAGATTTCTGTAAAACAGTTTATATTATTATAAATGTTATGTAAAAATGTATTTAGTAAAGGTGTCGAATAGGATTAGATTAGTAAAAGTATTCGTTGCTTCGTACTTACAACGATCAACTTTAATCTAACGCAAACTCATTTGAAAAGTTTCATTCCTAATCCATCTATTTAAAGTTGAAAGGATATTTTTTTCGTATAAGTGATGGTCAGACTTTGGGTTAATCTATCGAGTTAAGTAAAGTTCTCAGAAAACATTCAGAGAAGGGTTTATTCAATGAAGATGTCATAATGATATAGTATATGTGATTTATTAATTCGCCTTAATATTTATTATTAGGTCGCATGATCAAGTACGTACAGACGTTTACTATACCCATTGCTGGTACAGTCTAATTAGATCACAGTTATCTAAAGTACAAGTTTCAAGCCCACTCAATTCAACCTTACGACTTATAGGTTGCAAAAGAAATAGTTTTCTGACATCTCTGATATGTAGTCACTTAACTGTACAAGTAAAAACTTCTCAACACACTTGAAATCAATTCATAGTCTATAGAATTTTGTGTCATTATTAAAAGAGTATTTTCAAAAAAATTTTGTTTTTTTTTATTGAAGGAATACATGATTACAAATTGCAGATAACTTACCAATAAGAAATATGAACAATATGATCAACATAACTGTATTATCAATAGTCATCATATTATTGTTTCATATAAATAAAAATGTGATGTTTAAAAATGTAGAAAAGAAAAAACAAATGAAAGTAAAAAAGAAAAATGACATAAAATTGTTTTCTATCATTGAAAATATAATCCTTTTACATATTTGATTTGTTTTTATTTATTCATCAAGTTCCATTAGTTTTGGCCAAAGTTGTTCGCATTGTTCACGAACAATACTCGATGGTACAATACGTAGATGCACACATATTAATTCAAAACATGTTAGTGATGTTTGGTCAACAATAGAAGAATAATTCTCCCAAGCCAATTCTCTAAGAAAAAAGAAAAACAGTTAAATTTTTTTGTTCATCATAAAAAAAAAAGAAATTTATAACTTGTAAAAATCATAATGTAATATACCAGGTGGTTGAGATTTAACAAAAGGTTTGTAAAGTCGCATAGATGCACCCTTCAATAAAAAAAAAAAAAACACGAGTTTTATGTTTTTGTTAGTGTACAAATCTATTCGAATGGAATAGTTCGATGCTTATGTTGATCATACACACTAAATGAATAATTCAGAAGAACTTTTTAAACTGTTTTCTGGACATAAATGAATTGAACTTCATGCAAAAAAAGATTATAGATTGAACAGATTTTACAAAGATGACTTTGTTTTTTTCGTTATTAATATGATCGTTTATCGATACACATAATGATGAATTGTGTCGTTTATTCACGAAATTAAAAATATTACTAATGTTCTCTAAGTTTGACGATGAGATTATCATCGTCAGTTTTTTTTTGTTCTTCTATTTCCTACACTTTCAACAATACAGATTTCTAAAAGTTACTTGAAATCATCGACTAAACGATGAAATTTTATGTTAGATAATAGCCGAAGAAAATAAAAAAATAAAAAAGATTTCATCATTTATAATAAATAATCATGGTTACATACATTACTCTCTTGTAAACGTAATGTATAATTATATGTAAAATGTTCATCAGTCATTGTATATGATGTACAACCACGTTGAAGTGCTGAAAGACATTCTAATTCAAAATTTAATATCTACCAAAAAAAAAGAAAAGAAAAGAACGATCTTTTAAATCAAAAAAAAAAAAATTTCTATTTTAGAAAATTATTTCAAACTTTTTTTTCTAAAAATTGTTCCATGCCATTTGTATTATTAATTGTCATTAAATGATGTTGATTATCATCAGTATATAATGCTGGTGTACAAATATGTCCACGAAAACGATCAATTAGTGCAAAATGTACAAGACCAGGAAAATCATTATGACAACTAAATTCATATATATATTCTATAGATTCACGAAAAAAATTAAATTTATCTCCGATATACTTTTATGCTGACACACTTTTTAAAATTGTTAGTAGATTGACAAGCATAAAAGTAAAACGGGATATAAAAGGTGTTCCAGAAATTCTAATACATTTTAAATATTCATCATTCTCATATTTAATAAATGCAAAGTCTTTGAAACTTTGGTAGATTATTGGACATATTTAGTACTACATAACTATAAAGTTTCAAATCTATAGCTTGTACTATGGATGAATAATAGTAACAACACTATCATGTACTATTTTTTTAATTTTCTTGATCATGTTGGTTATTATTTTAAAAACTGTACAACTCTTGGAAATAAAAAGAAACACAAAACAAGTTATCAACGTTTTCGTATTTGATTACTACTCTGCTCGATTACTAATTTTAATCGTACTGGTATTTTATGTATCATTTGTTGACATAATTGTTCAATATTACTGTATTCTCCCCCCCTAAGTTTACTTTTAATAGATCCCAAACATTTCAAATAGGCCGAATGTCGATTAGTTTTGTAGCACAATTTATTGGTAAAATTCGATTAATAAAAACATGTTTAACAACATCCAAAGCTTCTTCTTCCCTCACTCCCTTTATTTATGATCTTGAAAAATAACATTTCGTAAATTACCTAATTCTTTAGCTGCTTTTTAAGATAAAATAGTCCGAATGAATTTTGAATATCCATTATCCGTAAAATACATTTTCTTACGATGATCACTATCTTGTGGTATGATGAGCTTTAACCATTCATCGATAAAAACTGGAGATTGCTGAGCGATTTTTGTATCGAATTTTGTTAATATAAGTCATAAAAAAATGTTCTTACCTATAGTAAAAGCTATAGATCTGAAATTTTGTAGTTATGTAGTACTAAGTATGTAAAATAATCTGCCAAAGTTTCAAAGACGTTGCTTTTATTGAGTGTGAGAACGATGAATTTTAAAAATGTATCAGAATTTCTGAGACACCCTTTATATTTCAAATCTCGTCAAATATTCAAAAAAAAAAAAAAAAGAAAAACTAAGATTAATCAATGACATACAAACTCATTGTAATATTTCGTTGAGATTTAATTTCAATAAATGAAAACCAATCTTCTAATTTTATTGATAATTTATTTCGAAGAATTGATACCATTGGTGATGATTCAAATAGATTATTTTCATTTATTGATAAATTAATATTTTGTCTACTATTATTATCATTATTAGTCAAAAGAATATATTCATTCGTATCAAAAAATAAATGATGAAATATATCAATTGCATAATCATTCATGTTTGTTAATTTTGTTAAAATTTGATAACCTCTTTTAAAACAAAAAAAAAATAACATAAAATAAATAAAACAGAAAGTCAACTATTAAATTACTTTTGATCATTTTCATTAATAATATCAGTTTTTTTTACTAACGATTTATAAATTAATTTTGCTTCATTTAATGTATTTGATAATATATTTAATGGCAAGTTTTTACTTTCAAACTAAATAAATCAATAAAATATTCTTTTAAAATTTTAGAATAATATAATTTTTTTTTTTTTTGTTTTTTACATATCGTCGAATCATTATATTATTTTCTATAGGTTTAATAAGATTATTTAAACGATTGTATGAAAATTGTAATTGATTTGTAGATAAAGCAAGTTCACGAATAAGTTCAGATAAATGTGTACAAGCTAAACTACTTTTCCACTAAAAAAAAAATTAAAACATAATAAATAAATCATATTATATAAAATTAAAACAAAATATTTTCAAACATTAAAATAAGTTGTTTTATTTCTTAGTTAGTATAAAGATAGTTATTTTAATTTCTGTTTGATATGGAACATATATTTTTAAAAATGAAACGAATGTATGTGAGTGTGGTTATTTCTCAATTTGGATGCTAGAGTACGGATTATATTGTTTCAATTTAATGTGTCTATTATTAAAATATATCAATAGACTTTATTAATTTTTACTTACTTCAAAAAGAATAAGTGCAGATATTTCATTTGTTAATGATATAGTATACATAGTAAATGGTGCAAGAATTCTATTTGATGTTTTCATAAAAACAATTTCAATAAGATGACTATCATTTGTTTCTATTGATTCTAATTGTGGTAAAGTTGGTAATGAATATGTCTATAAATGAAAAAAAAAAATTGTATATTATTTAAAGAAAAAATTTTCAAGATTCATATACTCGTCGAGTTTGTGTAATATGAGTATCTTCTATTGAATTTATTAAATTATGATGATTATAATCAATTTTTGTTTTATATATATGAGCCATTTTATTAGATGAATTATTTTGTTGTAATTTAAATTGATTACGTAATGATCGACTTGTATGATTAAGTATTAATAGAAAAAGATCACTATTACTTGGTCGATTTTGATCATTACTAAAAATAATTTTTTTTTTTTTCTATTTGTTCTTTCAAAAGTGTTAATTAAACCTTGTATGCATATAAACAATTTTATCTTTGCATGTAATAAGTACTACTGAAGGTGAAGTATGAAGCCAAAGTTGAACAGTTGGATTAATAATTGTACAAGCTTCAAGACACTGTTGACGAATCAATGAATTGATATGTAAATATTCACAACTCTAATTTATTTTTTTATGCAATATAAAATAATAAATATTCAAATATTATCTATTGTCTTACTTCAAAAATAAATGCTTGATTTGTTGTTATATTATTTAAATAATATTGAAGTGATGAAGATATTCGATCAATTGATTTATTAATAGTTTTGGATTTTCTATTTTAGAAAATAACATTAACATATTCATAGAAAAATATTAATTTTTACATATTTCCATGTAACTTCAACAAAAACCTTTTGATAAGCCTTCGGAATCATCAATCTCTTTTTCACTCATTTCTGATGACTTCGGAACATTGCAATATATTTTAGTAAATTCAAAAGAAAAAAAAAATAAGCAAGAGTTTTGCTTGCATATTTAGATGGCAATAGAGCAGGTCACTACAAATGAAAATCTATTAAACGTAGCACTAGTTATGCCATTTTTTTACACTATAGTTTAAAAGAAAAACAATTTTTGACAATCATATAATCAGAAAAAGTTTTTCAGATCGACAATCGAATGAACCAATAGGTTTTTCTGCTTTATATATAACATATTCATAGACGATGGAAAATTTCAAGTCTATGGTAGGCTTAAATATCTTTATATGAAAGATAGTTAGTGCTAGCAAAAATTTGTGAGATACTATTAATAGAATATCCCAAACCTCCATTTTTTGAATATCCTATTAATAGTAACGTAAATATAACACTGCATTCTATTATTCTCTTATTAAAATTGTATGAATACAAAATATTTTAAGACACTTACGTAAATGGTAAAACACCTATATGAAATTTAATTAATGCTTTAAATAAATTAATTGTTTTAAGTATAGTAATTGTATTAAACGACTCATCAGTCATACATATTAGATTACTTTCTCCAATCTATATTTGGAAACGAAGAATTAATAAAAAAAAAAAAAAGTAAAACTATATTTATTGAATATATATATATACTTGATCAAAATATAATTCCATATTTGATTTAAGTGTTATTCGTTTAATAGAACTATTACGATATAATGTTTGTGAATAAAAACTAGTTAATATTGAAAAATGTTGTACAATAGCATCATCAATTGAAAAATTAACTTCTTGATTTACCTATAATTTTATTATAATAAGAAATTTATAAAGAAAACAATATTTTTACTTCTTGATTTTCTGTTAAATTTTCTTTAAATGTATAACCTCGATCAATAAAACATTCATGTAAATATACAAATAAATCATCAGTTAAAAATCGATAAATTAAATCAGAATTTGATCCAAAAACAAATATACCAAATATACAACGCGTGACCATATTTTCGTATTTTTGACAAAAAAAAAAATATTACTAATATAAAAGATAAAATTTGCTCGTTTATATTCTATGTGACGTGGTTTATTTATTTTAGAAAAAGAAAAAAACATCATAAAAGTCATGATACTATGCACTATCTATGACAGTGCGTTTCTTTTTTTGATAATCTTTCCAACGAAGATGTACTTCAACTAGACCATAACCTAACATGCTGACTGATAAATACACAAGTAGAAGAATCAATGAAAGTCGAATAGTTACATAACTAGAATACTAAAAAAAGAAAAAAATAATTTCTTTTTTTTAGTTTTGAATAAAATCTAAACTTACACCATAGGTTACAACAAAACCAACTGATTTCCATAGACGATATTTTGCTAAAGCACTTGGATCAGCTTCTGAATAGAGAACTGTATAAGTAGCTAAAATATAAACATAAAACATACATTTATATTGAAAATATATTGGTTTCGATTTTATGAAAGTCTTCATTTTTATGTGCTACTTCCACTCTTTTTTTTCTTTTCATTCAAATATGTGAAAAATAGTCAAATAATTTGTCTAGAAACATTTAGCTCATCGGTTACTGGAAAATTTTAGGGAGAAGGACTTCCATTATGGCAAGAACTACTAATATCCTTTAGTCATGAATGTTGTCGGTTAGAAGACATCAATGAAAAAAGGGAAATAACTTCGTAACATTTTCTTAATCAGAAGTATTGGATATTATTAGACTACCCCAGTTCCTTCTTGATGTTCGTTTATTTCCAGATTGAATTCCCTCTTAAGCGAGTATAGAGAGCGATATATAGAGAGAAATAAAGCATCAAAGAATGCGAAATGAATAAACAAATACCAATGAGTCAAAGAGTGATACATATGACTGTAACATACCTCCCCACCGACAGAAATGTGGGTCCACACACATTAAAACGAACACCAGCAAAATTGAAACAATCGGATTAGATGATAAAAAAAATGTGATAATATGAAGAAAATATGCAGCAGTATAATGATGCAGTAGAAAGAGAAAAAACGAAAGAAACTGATAGAATCTGAATATATAATCGAGAACAAAAAATATGTGTGTATGCAAAATGATAATATGAAAGAAACGATAATATGGTAGTGTTATTACAAATAAAAGAAGAAACAAAACGAAGGTTGTAAGTACCTTTAAAATTTGAGAGGTGGTAAAGCAGGTGAAGATGCATAACGTATAGCAGGTGGTTGAGTAGCCTGTTCTAAAGTGTCGAGACGACGAAGGGTACTCATAAGTATGTTGCCCATCGGATGAAGTTGATTAAGGCCAGATGCTTCAAGTGCTTGAAGAGCGAGAGGTTGACGATGACGTATAGATCGACGAAGGCGGCGATATGTGAAGAATACAACTGCGAGGAGAATAATGATGACGATACCAATTGCAACAGCACCTCCAATGAATATGTTGTTTGTCTGATCACGATGAGTGCTGTGTGACTGTTCTAAGACGGACATGCGTTGGTGTATTTGAGCATTAAGGAATCGTTTGACTCGATTTTTGGGAAGAATTGCAAGGCATGAAAAAATAAGGTTGAAGAAGATAGCGATGAAATTGAACATGGTTAGTAGAAAATGAGGATGTACAGAAGTGAGAAATAAATGATGGATGAAGAAAAGTATGAAGAGATATAAGGCGATGATGAAGGGAGGCGTTCGACAAAAATGGCAGAGGTGAAGAATGCAGATAACAATAGTAGGAAAGTGTATGATGAGTAACAGAATGTATAAAAAAAAACATACTGCGTGTGTTTGATAGTATGTATTGAACGGTTGAAAATTAACATAAGTAATGGATCGTTGATAGATAACTATCTAATTGAGACCGGAATAAGTAGATCGACTGTTACTTGTCTTGTCAAATCCAGTAGTTTGACATGTTGAACAAGATATGTTTTAACACCAAGACGACGTATAATCCGAAATGGACCTTCATATCGAATATCAAATTTGTGACGGGAATGAATATTTTTTATAAGAACTAAATCGTTGATGGAATATGTAGGATTTGAGCGATTGGTATCATATCTAGATTTGTACTGATGTTGTGCATGAATGATATTCGTTTTCGCATTTTTTCTTTTTTTAATTGATTTATTTCTTGCTTTAATCTTATTCATTTTTTTTGCAGTTTTTTGTTGTTGTTTCTTTTCCTCTTTATGATGTGTGTGGACACACATCTCTGTCGGTGAGGAGGTATGTTACAGTCATATGTTTACATATCTTGACTCACTTCGTTCTTTGCGATACGTGCTTATTCGAGTCGAATTCCTTGATGCTTTATTCTCTCCTATATATTGCCCTCTCCTCTCGCTTGCGAGATGGTGTATCGCTTCGAATAAAGTGAACCTCTAATAGATATAAATAAAAAACAAACAAAATACCGATCACTTGTGTTTGCCAAATAGCATCTGCAATACCCCAAAATCCAGCAATAACAAATAATATAACCATTTGATTTTCTTGTGGATTCCAAAGAAACATTAAAATAATCATTGCATAATTAATTAAAGCAGCAACAATAAAAATAAATATTCGACCTGTATATTTAACAAGACGACCACAAGCATAACTACTTATTGCTTGACATATTCCATTACATACCATAATAAGACCAACATAACTATAAAACAAATAGAAAAATTTTTATTTTTTTTTTTAAACGTAAAAAGAAAATATTTTACCGAATACCAATAAGACAAGTAATAAAACCCTAAGAAAAAGAAAAATTAGATTTTAAATCAAGAAGTAAAAAAATTAGATTTTACTCGAGTAAATTGTGCTGTTAAAAAAGCTGTTTCAATTGTTGTCCACATTGTAAGTGGTATAAGAAATAATTGATCAATATATTTCCATTTTTTAAATGATACAACTACTTCAAGACTTTTCTTTAATAATTGTTGCATAGTTTCTAAAGAGAACTTTTATTTTTAATAAATAATAAAAATTTAATCATACGTTTTTGAGTTAATTGTACAGAATCAAGTGTTAAAAATAAAAGTAACATTGATAAAACGCCCATACCAGCAAATGTTCCACAAAGAATATAACGCTTTAAAACAAAAATCAAAGAAATAGAATTTATAAATTAAGAAAAAAAAAAATTTTTACAGTTGTATTATTCACATCTTCAGTTGTATTTGTTGGTAAAGCTATGTTAGGATCAAAATGAACTCCACAATTAATTACTTGAGGATAACTCAATCGATTAAGTACAAAGTATGATATTAAATTGCCCCAAACTGTATTTGTACCAAATAGTGCAAAAAATATACCAAAAAATAGACTAACTGATATTTCATGAGTTTGTTTTTTATGTGCAGAATGATAACGTGCTATTTGATTAAGATATGTCGCTTTTGCTGTCCATAATGGAGCAGCAGCAAGACCAACAAGAGCTGCACCTGAAAAATAAATCAATAAAGACATATTCTGATAACACTTAGTCGAGCCTAATGAAAAAAAGAAAGTATTATCATCTAACTTGTGATCATTGTACAATCAATTACAATTGACTATCATCTAGATATGAACAAGGTAGAAAAATTCATAGTTCTAATTACTTTTTTTTTTTTTAATTAATTTAATTGAAAAGGATAGAAAGTACTGTTTTACTTCGTTGTTTTTTTTTTTAATTTTCATTCTTTAAACGAATTTTTTATCAGTATCAAATTTATTTTTAGGAATCTTTGTCATAAAATACTTAAAGATAATTACTGATATACATAAGTACAGGTAATGGTTTTATATTAGCTGCTATATAAAATATATAACCAATTTCAGCAAGTATAATAGTCCATTTAAGACCAAATAAATCCATACAAACACCAGTAAGAGCAATCGAACTAAACTAAATAAAAAAATAAAAATAAAAAAGTTTTGATTAATTTTCAATTTTATATAAATTTACTATTAAAAATGCATAAGTTATAATAAGAGAATTAACACCAACATTATTTTTAACATTTAAACTTGATTGAAGTGTAACCATACCATTATAAGCTGTAAACATGAGAATAAAAGCTAATGAAAGTAAAAATAAATTTTTATAAATTTTAGCTATTGAAAATGTTGGTATAATATCATTTGAAATATGTTTTTCATTTTCATTTAATGGAATTTTTAATGGAGCCATCGACATAATACCCATTTTACTAGCAGCATTTGTTTGATCTTCACTAGTTGCACTAATATAAGATAATTTTCGAGGTATATTTGTAAGTTCATCTGGATCATTTTCATCCATTTTGAAGTCTTTTTTTTTTTTTATTTATTGACAGACAACAAAAAGAAAACGTAATGAATGTGCTTCTTTGATAAAATTTCAAGAAAGAAAAGAAAAAGAAAGGTGAATGTTGATAATGTTGTGTTAGACGGGTATGTTGTTAATATGAAGAAAAAAAAAAGATACTAAAATGAATATAGTAAATTTCTTTTGATCTTACGATTAAAATTTTTTTCGAAAATTTCAATTTTATCATAAAATGAATAAGTCAATATATTTTTTTTCGTTTCATGGTATTGTTTTTTTTTTTTAATTAAACCATAGATTTTGTACAGGGTGGTAAATAATATTATTCCAGGGGGGTAACACTATGATCTCGAATCGGAGATATCATGAATTTTATACCAAATGAAAGCTCGTGAAAAATGGGGTTTAGTGATAGTAAATAGTAAGACTTTGAAGAACTTTCTTGTATTAATTTATCAAACGTTACGATTTTTATCGACATAAAATATTATAAAATCAGTTCATCGAAAAAGTTCGGGGCTAAACTATATGTTGTACAACTGTTTATTTTCTTATTATTTATTGAGTACAATCAATAATCAGTATGACGACCATTAGCACTCTTTACTGCACGAAGTCGAGATGGATACGAACATAAAAGAGCTTCAAACAATTCGGTATTTTCTTCCATGTCCGTCAAAACATCCGCAATGTGCTTTTTAAGTGTGTCTTCACTATATCGATTATGTCCAGTTTCCGATAACATTTTTTGTTCAACTTCATCTTTCATTATTGATCCAATATGTTCCGCCGCATTGAGATCGGGCGAATTACCAGGCCAAATATCATTGCCCCAAAACTCGATTTTGTTATCTCTAATCAGATGTTGAGTCATGTTTGCTCGCATACACGGTGCTTTATCGTGAACAAATATCACATTATCCAGATCAATTACGTTTTCCTCGTCGGTGAGGAATGGAAATACGTGTTGCATTAAAATAATGTCACGAAAATATTGACCGGTCCAAGATTCACCTTTGTCTTTAATCACCCAATGCATTTTTTTCGCGGTGAAAATGATAAAAATACCGATACACGCTTGGTTTTTAACCATTTCGCGATACCTTTCATCGTCTTCAATATCTTCAACACGTTTTGCCCAAATCCTATCATTTTGATAATTTGGTTTGCGAACTGTCCAAACATAAAATTCATCTGATGGTGCCAGATGAAGAAAATCTTCTTCAGTCCAATCTTTCAACCAATCACAGAGCCATAATCGATCTGATATATGAGTTTCAGATTTTAACGGTCTTGAAATAACATGAAAAGGCTTTAATCCTTCCCTACGACGGTAGTTATTAACTGTTTGTCGAGTAACATATTCTTTTTGTTTCTTTGCAATCTCTTTCGCCACGACAGAACCGCTTTTCCGTTGGTGACCACTTGCTTCACGAATAATGTCCTGAGCAGCTCTCGATAACTTGAGTTTAGGACCAGCATTCGAATAATCAGCAAAACATTGGTCACACGATTTTTCCCACCATTCTGTAACAAATCGAGTCGTACGGTGAATTTTGTCGGCAATCCATTGTCTATTTATAAATGTTGCACCAGCATCACGAGCTTCTCGGAAAGTAATGCATTTAATTCTATCAATCATTCTTTGTTGTTCGGTATCATAAGCGCCAGCCATTTGAAATAACAAACGAAAAAACACTGAGATTTCACTCGACTATAACTTTCAGACAGTCCGAGAACGAAAAAATTTTTCAAATAACTAGTATCACGTGGAGAGAAGAACAGAACGCCAAAGAACCATCTTATTGTGTGAGTCATAGTCATATATCATCATCGTTATCATTTCTCTTTCGTTTTCATAAAAAATGTTCGTTTTCAATGTCTCAAAATGTATGAAAAATGATTTTTAACGTGTTTTTGAAAGAAAATTTCGTTGTTTTTAAAAATTTGGTACACGAAAGTTCTTCAAAGTCTTACTATTTACTATCACTAAACCCCATTTTTCACGGGCTTTCATTTGGTATAAAATTCATGATATCTCCGATTCGAGATCATACTGTTACCCCCCTGGAATAATATTATTTACCACCCTGTATATAAATATCATTGGATTAAGGTTTTCTATACATGACATATCAAGGTACGTGATAAATGAAAAGAATAAATTTATATTGATGATATTTTTATCAGTATTTGAGTATTGAAAGGTTAAAGTATTTGAATGAAATATTATGATCTTTTTTCTTTAAAACCTGGAGAGTATTACAGATAATCATGTTTTTTTTTTGACATAAAATAAAATTTAAAAATTTCAGTGTTTTTTTTTTTACAATTTTATTTCTATAATGCCAATATTAACAGTTGCACAAAAATACTTTCTTGCTGCGGAAATTTTTACAAGAATTTTGAATAAAATTATGAAAACGAATTAATTTCTTATCAGGAAATAATCTTCATTATAAGCTGATTGATTTTATTGTTCTAGTACTCGTCACATTAATAATTCTCATATTATGCAGAGTTGGATTCAACGATCCATATATATATATATAAACTGCAAAGACTAATTGAATGACTTCATAAAAAAGCTACCATGTCCGTTACTGTATCAAAATCCTCTACAAACGCACTTTTATTGATATATAACAATTATTCATATATAGTTAAGCGGAAAAGTGGCACGGAAATTCTTTGAAAATGTGAACACTCTAGAAAATGTACATGCCATGGATGATTAAGGCATGCGTATGGGTGAAGACTCACATCCCACATCCAACTTAAAGTATAAATGATGTCATAAAGTATTTTATATCAAATTAATGCTCATGAAAAACTGGATTTATGAATGTGAAATTTTTTGAAATCCACATCCATTGCAAAATGTACTCGTACTTTACGATTTCCATTGTTCATGTATATATTTTCACAAAAAAAATAATAGCTGATTTGTGATCTCCATCAAAAACTGAATCTAAAGGCATAGCATTTGTATATTTTTGACGAAAAATTTTTTTGAAAAATAATCATGGGAGGTACTGCGGATAAAAAATTTCTCTGAACTGAAATATCTCGATCTATGTATTACTGGACGCAGTTTTTGACGAAGATCACGAATTTGAAATTGTTTCTGTTGACAAATATAATAAAAACAAGCAAAAAATTGCTATATATGAGCACATTTAGGCACAAAACTGTCATAGACTTTATAGTATCAGGTCTATAAAAGAACTATCATGGGATACCTCGCATGATTTTTTTCAAAAAATTTTTTTTCGTTAAAAATACACAAATGATATGCCTCTAGATTCAGTTTTGATGAAGATCACGAATCAGCTATTATATTTTGTGAAAATATATACATGAACAATGGAAATCGTAAAGTGTACGAGTGCATTTTGGGATGGTGTGGGTTTCAAAAAATTTTACATTCATAAATCCAGTTTTTTAATGAGCATTAATTTGATATAAAATACTTTGTGACATCATTTATACTTTAAGTTGTAGAGGAAGGTGTAATGGTTTTGTAATACTGTGTATATGTTAAATTCGCTGATGTTGGACGTTTTTTGAAATTGTAATGTAAAGGCTTGGAAAGAGACAAAATCTTCGTTGCGTTGGATTGAATCGCAGTGGCATTCAACGAATGGATTTTTATGGATTATGTAGATTTGAAAAATAATTATTTACTCTTTTTCTAATGGAAATTCATTTCTTAATTAGTCATCTTAAATATATCATGCATTTAACAGATTGCAATACTTTCAAATATATATTAATCCCTATGATGTTTATCGAAACACTAACTTTTATTTTGGACTATTTAATCTATTGAATAACAACAAAAAAGAAATATAGATGATAAGGAGAAATATTTCACATCGATTTTTCTAACGACTGTTTCCTTGTTAACTGAATATGAAATAATAAAAACAATACTTATGCTTATAAGCAAGATCAACGTTGTTAATTTGTTGCCGATGATTTTAAGTACATAGAAAATGTTAGAAGTTCATTTCTACAAGTAACCACTGGTCATACAAAAAAATGATTATCCCAAACGAAATTAAATTGTTTTCCTAAGGTTTAGGAAATCATATTTTAGTTAAATTCTTCGGAGAAACGAGACTTATTTTTGAACATCGATGATTTAAAATTTAATTTTTCTTCAATAACATTTAGAAATCTCATTATCGTCGCTTTGAACATAATTCTTTTATTTTTTCTGAATGCTTTTCCTCTAATATGAGTATTTTGACAGTATAATTGAGACAAATTCTAATACTTCTCATTATTGTCTTGCCATCAAAGAGATACAACATTATTATTTAAATTTGGTTTCATCATTAATCGTGAAATGTGTAAAATAATTCAATCAATTATTTATCGTTGTAGTTTGACTTACAGTAGTAACAATTGAAAAAATGAATATTCTGCTAGTCGATTTTAGTTCGGGTAAATTAAAAAGAGTGATGCATAAGACATTCCGTATAAGTAATGTCTAATTGTAAAGCAATGAGGGATTGATTTTGATGATCACGAATTCTTATCAATATTTTTTTTTCTTTTACTGGTACTTTTTTAAAGGTGTTATTCTTCCTTCATATTTCCTTACTTCATCAGTATGATGAACGAAATATGAGAGTCGATTGAAATATCTGTTGTTGATTCAGTATGACATGGAAAGCTTTTCCATAGCAAAAAAGAAAAAAAGACAAACACTAACTTAAGAAAATAAATATACACTATCGTTGACTATAGACCTAATGAACAGATCATTTCTACTATTAGGTAGAACTTGTCTTTCCAATGTGCCAGTCGGTCCATAAATAAACAGCTTAGTCAAGTAGGCTATTTTCGAATAGTGCACGAGTTCGAGTAAACTGAAGACGGTCAGGATTTCCTAGCTAATCATATTTTTGGTATTGATAGTGAAAACGTAAGCAAAACTGTTAAGAGCGTCGCAAATGAAGATCTGTAGAATGGTGTCATCGATG